AAGAAACCAGTTCCCTAGTAGGACAGAAGTATTAAAAGGTATGAGACTGTCTCTCCCTCTATCATTAGCTTCAGGACAACACTGAGGACATCATCCATGAAGAAAGCAAAACATCATTAAAAAGACAGAGAAGGTTTTAGGGCAAGTGAGGATGGAGAATGGATACTATGCTAAAGTGTAACTTTAAATGTTAATCAATAAAAGACCAAAACGGGTGTCAGAAGAATCTCTGAAAGTTACGCTTGAACAAAAAGCTAAAGTGAAGGGAGAAGCAACAGAGAGCTGAACAGAGATTCAAAGAGCAGCTCGAGACAACAATGTATTATTTTTTAAAAGTGCAAAGACCTGGAGTTACAAAAAGCAACAGGAAAGAACTTGTGCAGTATTTTTCAAACGGGAAGAAATGAAGAAATGGGGGGGGGACACACACCCCAAGCCTCAAATTGCAACAGTGACAGATTCCAGGGGGAAATGCTGAATGCCGCAAGCAGCATCCAGAGAAGGCGGAATGCACAGTCACCGTGCTAAGAAGAGCGTCACTGAACCGGCTCTGAGGTTTTATTGACTAAGCAAGGTCATTCAACTCTGGTGCACAGTATTACCGACAAGGCACTGACCTGTGTGGATCATAATAAATTGTGGATAGCATTGAGAAAAACAGGGATTCCAGAACACTTACCTGTGCTCATGGACAAACCAAATAAGCAGTTGCTGAAACAGAACAAGACGATATTACACGGTTTAACTTCAGGAAAGGTATTGTCAGGGTTGCCTCCTTTCTCTAGCTATTCAATCTCTATGCTGACCAACTAACTTGAGAAGGTTGTCTATGTGAAGAATGATGTGGCATCAGGATTTGCAATCACTTGCTCTGCATATGAGAGCTGGACAATGAATAAGGATGACGGAAGAACTGATGCCTTTGAACTGTGGTGTTGGAGAGAGTGAATGTCCCACTGACTGCTAAAGGAACAAACAGTTATGTCCTAGAGAGGGTGCAGCCAGAGGGTTCCTTGGAGGCAAAGATAATGAAGTTTCATCTCACTTACTTTGGGCGTGTTGCTAGGAGAGGCTGTTCCTTGGAGAGGAACATCACGATTGGAAAGGTGGAGAACAGAGGAGGGGGGAAAGACCCTCAACCAAGTGAACTGACAGTGACTGCGGCAATGGGCTTGAGGGTGTCGAGATTGTGAGGACGGCAGAGGACAGGACAGGGTTCAGATCTGTGGTTCATGAGGTCACTACGAGTTATACTCAACTCGATGGCACCTAACAACAACAGAACAGGAGGATGATTCTTCAAAAACTTATGCTATGCAGATGACAAAACCTTGCCTGGAGAAAGCCAAGATCTGGAACACTTCCTAAAGATGAAAGACCACAGCTTTCATTAGGAATTACCCCTCCACATCAAAGAGAACAAAAATCCTCACCAACAGACCAATTGAAAACATCATAATAAGAGAGAAAAATTGAAATTCCAATGATTTTAGTTGGATCCAAAATCAATATTCAAAACAAGTATGAGATATCATCTCACCCCAGTAAGAATAGCAAAATTTAGCAGAATAGCAAACATCAGATGCTGGCAAGGTTGTGGAAAAACTGGAACCCTTATTCACTGTTGGTGGGAGTGTAAAATGGTGCAACCACTATGGAAGGCAGGATGGTGCTTTCTCAAAAAGTTGGAAATAGAAATGCCATTTGACCCAGCAATTCTACTATTGGCAATTTACCCAAAAGAAACCATAACTACCACCCAAGCAGATATATGCACATCCATGTTTACTACGGCTTTGTTCACAACAGCAAAGAGCTGGAAATAATCCAAGTGTCCGTAAACAAACGAACGGATAGAGAAGCTGTGGTATATTCACACAATGGAATACTATGCAGCACTGAAAAACAAGGAACTCATGAAATATTATACAAAATGAGTGACCCAGGAGGACATTATGCTGAGTGAAGTATCTCAGTCACAAAAGAACAAACATTACATAGGGCTACTGTTATAAAAAGGGACTGACATCAGGGTTGAGGGAAGACTGAGAAAGACGGGATAAATTATGTATACTGCATTGAAACAGATGAGAACTCTTTAAAAGGGATATGTGATTAGGTATTATTGTCATCACAGGCATCCAGAATGAAGGCTGCATAGTGGAGTGGACTTGGGGGGAGGGATTGTATAACAATGAAAGAGTTTTTCTTATACTTTTCAAGGAGAAGAGTGAAGGGGGGAGAGGGTGGGCAGGGGAAAAAAGTGCAACAATGGAAACCCTAAGTCTCCGTAAACTTTAATTAAAATTAATTTTAAGAAATCAATACTCAAGGCATTAGTAGCCAAGAAATCAAATTAAGTGTTGCATTTGGGAAATCTTCTCTTAAAGTCCTCTTGAAAGTGCTAAAGAGTAAGTAAAGATGTCAATTTAATGACGAACATGCATCTGAGTCAAGCCATCGCTCAATCACTGCCTTCGAGTTGGAGATGATTCATAGCTGAACCTCTAGTGGGTTTTCAGAGGTTGTAGATCACATCATAGAGAGCTCTGGGGCACTGCAATCCCAAAGGCATGTGTTGTCGTTGTTGTTATGTGCCGTCGAGTCGCTTGCGACTCTATGTACAACAGCCCTAAGCCCTGCTCTACTCCTTGCCAATCTTATTGTCAGGGAACATTCTTGTTGTTGTTGTTGTTGTTGCTGTTGATATGTGCCGTCGAGTCGTTTCCGACTCATAGCGACCCTATGCACAACAGCCCTAAACCCTGCTCTATCCTGCGCCAACCGCACTGCCTCTGACACACCCATCTCGATTATCCCAGTCACTGAATCAATCCATCTCATCGAGGGCCTTCCTCTCCTGCGCTGTCCCTCCACCCTCCCAAGCATGATGTCCCTCTCCAAGGACTGGTCCCTCATTGCAACATGTCCAAAGCATGTCAGACGAAGCTGCAAAATCCTTGCCTCCAAGGAGTAGCTTGTATGTAGTCCAAATACACCAGATGTTCCACAGAAGCATGGCCAATCTCCTGTGCAATTAATTGTCTCTGAAAACCGGCCAGAGGATCAGCTCTGGGCTGGTTCCAACTTGATGGTACACAACAACAACAACAACAGACTGCATGGGAAGCGGTTGTTCATGTCTCTCTGTGGAGCTACTGCTGAACTGAAACAGCCAGAGAGGCAGAGCCTAAGGGCTAGTCAGGCAACTCCCTGTGGGTCAGTTACACCATCAGAGCCAAGCTATGCTCTTTCCAATCGCTTCCTAAGCATCTCAAAGTTAAGACAGTAAGAATCTGATGCCTCTGGGCTGCGGCACTGGCCACACATACCTATATAGGTCGTAGGCTGACTGTCCTGAAGTGCAATCAGAATGTCCGGTCTTTAGAAGCAAAGGCGGTACAACTCTGTCTCACAGACTTTGGGCATGCTTCCAGGAGGGGCCAGCCTTTGGAAAAAGACATCAGGCTAGGAAAGGTGGAGAGGCTCAGAGCAAAGAGAGGAAGACCCTCAGAGAGAGGGACTGGCACAGAGGGTGTTCACCAAGGGCTCCGGGGTACCAGAGATGGGGAGGATGGCGCAGGGCAAGGTTTAGACATGTTCATGGGGCCCCACGAAGTGGGAGTCGACTAGACGGCACCTAGGCACACGGGTTCGAGTCCGCCAGCTGCTCCGTGGCAGAAAACTGTACCATCTCCTTCGGTGAGATTTACTGTCTCTGAAAACCTGTAGGAGGGCCAGCTAGAAGTCGGTTAGACTCAAAAGTACCCAACAGGCTTAAAATTCACTCCTTGTTCTTGGGCTCTACATTAAAACCCTCTCCCTTCGAGCCTGGCCACCCGCGACAAGAACAAGGCAGATTTGTTTCCCCGAAAAGATGCAGAGATTCGGTTGCTGAGCGCAGGTGTCGGAGTTTGGCCAGGGCCAGGTGTGTTATGTGACTTCCCGGGGGGACCTGCACGCCACAAGTCACCCCGGAGCCCGTGGGTCAGTGGGAGGGCAGTGCAGTGCTGGACCGAGAGATCTGCAGAGTCGCAGCTGGGGCCCACCCCGTGGACAGAAGGACGAACGTAAGGACATAGACGGCTTCGGACCGGGTGGTGCAGAGCTGGCCCCAGTGCCCGCCACACCGTAACGGCCGCCCCGTCCTGCTCACCGAGCCTTCGTGCGCCATCGCCGCCGCAGTCGCCCCAAGCCTGGAGGCCCACCCCCTGCAGCGGCGGAGGCCTCAGCCGCCAAACGCGCTCGGTCGTCCTGGCGACGGCGCCGCGCAAGGCAGCATGGGCCGCTCGCCCCGCCCCCGGTTGTCCCGGCAACCGCATCTCTTAGCCCACCAAGCCGCAAAGCTGCTCGCCCCGCCTCCGGTCGTCCTGACAACCACGCCCAGCGTGGCCGTCCAGGCTGCTCGCCCCGCCCCCGGTTGTCCCGGCAACCGCACCATTAGGCCACCGAGCCGCAAAGCTGCTCGCCCCACCTCCCGTCGTCCTGACAACCACGCCCAGCGCGGCCTGCCGGGCCGATCGCCCCGCCCCCGGTTGTCCCGGCAACTGCACAGCTCTCCGCAGCTCACGCCGTGCGTGCTGCGTCGTCTCTATGGTGGCGGCGGATTCGGAGAGACCGAACCCTCCCAGGAGTCAGGCGAGCGCGCTGGGCATTAAGGCTGGTGTCCCCCGACCGAAGCCGGGGCTGCGAGGACGCGATCCGAGAGGGGAAGGGCCTGCACCTGCCTTGCGCACCCCTCATCCTTTGCACGGACGCTCTGGGCCACCGCGTCCTGGGCTGCCCATCGCCCCTCGATTCGGCCCCGGGGCTGCCCTGTCCACCTCCACGAGATCGGCCTCCTCCTTGAGACCCCCCTCACCGGCCTGGGGCCCCCCCTCCACCCCGTGACCCCCGATCTCCCCTCCTTGTGCCTCGTGACAGCTCCTCGTCTACCCCTCCCCGGGCCCCCTAAGCCGGTCAGCCCGCCAGCCCCGCGCCTGCAGTGTCCAGGCCTCGGCATGTTCCGCCGGGAGCGCTCCATCCCGCTCCGCGGCTCGGCCGCCGCGCTGGGCAACAACCTGAGCGTCCTGCAGCTGCCCGCCCGCAACCTGACGCACTTCGCCGTGGTCCACGGGCCCAGCGCCCAGCTGCTCAGCGCGGCCCCCGACGGGGTGACCCTGGCCCAGCGCCAGCTCCACGCCAAGCAGGGAGCTGGAGTGAGCCCCCCACTGATCACCCAGGTGCCTGGCAGAGGCGGTCAGGATGGCGCTGGAGAGGGCAGGGGTCAGAGCTGATGGTCATGGGGACACTATGAGCCCACTCCATGAACCTAGCCACCTCCAGAATGCCCATTCTCTTGATGACCCCTCTGGCCCCGCACTGATCACTCTCCCCTGATCCACCTCCTCCAGGTCCACTGGTGTGTCCTCCCTTTCCGAGTGTTGCTGGTCCTCACCTCACACCGAGGGATCCAGGTAAAGAGACGACCCTCCACCCCGCCAGGAAGACTGCCGGGGAAGACGCTCTTACCTGGCGCCCAGACCATGCCCCTTTGCCTGTAAACAAGTCCACTTTTCTGATCCTGACCCTGGTCTCTCTGTATTTGTCATCGCTACCCATCTGCCTTTTCCAATTCCCAAATGCCCTTTCCAGTATCTGTGTTCCTGCCCTCCCATCAGTACCTTCCCATTTCGCAGCTGGGTGACCACTGGGTGAGTTGTTGAGCCTCTCAGGGGCATCCTGTACAGTAGGGTCACCTCTAGGGTCGTTTTGAAGATGAGATAAGGGTGTTTCTGTGTGCCACACAGTTGACACTGACTCATAGCTGGCCCTCCAGCAGGTTCTCAGAAACTGTCGATTACTTGGGAGGAGATTGTCCATCTTTCTCCCTGTGAGCAGCTGGCAGATTCGAACCGTCTTCCTTTGAGTTAGCAGTACAACTCCTTAGCACGAGGCTACCAGGGCTAACATAGGAATGAGAAAACCTTAGCACTGTGGGGCTGGGCAGGGACCCACCGGGGTCTTCCTCAGCCCTGTGCCTGTCTCCCAGATGTATGAAGCTGATGGCTCCGTCATGGTGTACTGGCACGCACTGAACTCCGGAGATGCCGCTCCAGGTAGCTGCGGGCCAGGTGCACGGAAGTGGAGGGGCCTCGCTGGAGCGAGAAAGAGCCGTTTATGGTCCTTTTCTCTCTTCCTATCCAGTCCATGCGGTGTTTGCCCGGGGGATCGCTTCCAGTGGCCACTTTATCTGCGTGGGTGAGAGATCCAGGGCAGGGGGCTGGGGAGCACCAAGGGATAGAGGTGTAGGCTAAAGGCCAGGAGGAGGCTCGAGCAAGCACAGGGATAGTGGGGAGGCTGGAAGTGGAGGTGATCTGGGAAGTTCTAAACAGGAATCTGAATTGAGGGGTCAGGGCAGGGGGAGTGGAATGGGTTTGTTGCTGAGGTCTCTAGGCTGCCCCGTGGTGGCTGGAGGCCTGGAAAGCTCAGGAGCCCTCAGTGGGCCCTCGTTCCGGTCACAGGGACATGGTCAGGCTGCGTGCTGGTGTTTGATATCCCCACCAAGGGTCCCAACATCACCCTGTGTGAAGAGCTGACTGGGCACCAGGCACCCATCACGGACATTGCCAGTGAGCCCTCCCAGGGACAGGTGAGTGGACACCCCTCCTCGTGATCACCTGGGAGGCAGGAGAGAGCCTTCGCATCCTGGCCATGTCACTCAGACTGTTGTACTTTCTAAGAGTGTGACACTTGAGACCTGGTGACAAAGTCAGGACACTTTGCAGGCTAATTTAGTTCTCTAAGAGTAGAACTAAAGGGGTTCTTGAAGCATAGATCCTTAAGTGTGGGGCTTTTAACCAAAAGGTCGAAGAGTCAGGTCCAGCGGCGTGCTCCATGGGAGAAAGACGGGCCTCTTCCTCACATCCGCAGATACCCAGAGAGGGTCGGGAGCAGGAACCCAACCAATAGCAATGGGTTTACGACTTGAAGACATGACTGTGAATAGAGAGAGAAGTGCTACACTCTGGCCCCTTCCAGCCTTCTTGAGCATGTGTGTCTGGACGCAGCCAGTGTAACTGAGTCCAGTGCTGCTCTCCCCCTCCCTTAACTGCACTGACCTTGAAGACGAGGGTTTTCTCCCCTGCTAGAATGCAAACCTGACGACAAGGTCTGTGTCTCCAGATTTGTACTGTCTGTCACCTCCGACCCACAGCCAGCCTCCGGGGCCTGCTGGCCGCCTGGTGCCACGTGGGGAGGACCAGGGAGCAGTTTACTAAGAGGTTCACAAGCACGTGGCCTCCAGCAAGGGCAGTTACACCCACCCTCCTTCCCAGCAGATCACAGAAGGGAATGGTGTAAAGTCTAAGAAATGCAAGGAAAAGATAGATCCCCTGGGGGTGGATGTGTGGTGTGCCTGGCCAGTGTGGACACTGCTTCCGGTCAGCAAAGATAGACGCGTGGCCTCCCTTCCCCTCACGCGCTGTCCCCAGGACCATGGCTGGGAGTGGGGGATGATGCAGCCGACCACTGGCCCTGCCTTTCCCCCAGGATGGTGTGGCTCACATGGTGACAGCAGATGACTCCGGCGTGCTCTGTGTCTGGCGGTCAGGGTCTGAATTCACCTTGCTGGCCAGCATTCCAGGATTTGGGTAGGGGGGAAGGAAGGGGAACGGGGGCTTTCCTAGGAGAACCCTGGACATGCAGTGGGCTGGGTCTGGGGTGATCACTGGGGTGTCACTTCTGCAGGGTCCCGTGCCCGTCGGTGCAGCTGTGGCAGGGGATCGTGGCAGCGGGTTATGGGAACGGGCAGGTCCGCCTGTATGAGGCCAACACGGGCACGCTCCATGCCCAGATCAGTGCCCACGCCCGGGCCGTCTGTGCCCTGGACCTGGCTCCGGACACGGGCACGGTCAGTCCCTCCTCCCACTCCTCCTCCCCGTGGCGCTGGGGTTCAGAGCGGAACACTGGACGAGACTACATCCTCTCTGCCTTTTTATTCAATAGCTGCTGTCTGCAGCCGAGGACACCGTCGTGCACATCTGGAAGCTGAGCCGAGGCCCCGAGAGCGGGGACATTGAGGTGTGTGCGTGTCCTGGGACAGGTGGGGTGAGGGCTCACATGCGGGGACGCGGCCCTGACACACACACCCCGGCCCGTGTCCCCAGGTGGAACACTGCCACGGGGAGTGTGTTCCCGACACCCAGGTGTGTGGGGCCCGCTTCTGTGATCGCTCAGGCACCTCCTTCGCCGTGACGGGCTACGACGTGGCTGAGATCCTGAGGTTCCGAAGGGCGTGACAGAGCGTGGCTTCCCGCACACCCCGCCCTGTGCTCTATATTATAAAGGAGCCGCAACCCTCCCTCCTCTCATCATTCTGTCGGTCATACTTCACCCCCGGGGGACGTCATGAAGAGCCGTTAGATAACCTTTAATGGTGACTGTGGGAGTCACAGGCGGGTGTTTCCCTCTGCAGCCCCTCAGAGCTGGTTAGTATGGCGAGGTGGGGCAGGGCACTTCCAGTTTTGTCCCAGGAAGGTCTGGGGGATGCCAGCCAGCCCTGAGAATAAACCCCATAGAACCACGGCAAGCAATCGGAGAGGGCTCACGGCTTCCCGTGCCTGGAGGAAGGGCGGCTAGGCCGGCCAGCCTGCCCAGCTGTTCCGGAGACACAGGTCCTCGCTACCAGCTGCTCCCCCCGTGTCCCTCACACCGGTGACTGCAGCCAGGTGCGGGCTGGGCCTTTGCCGCACAGGCCTCTGGACCGTGGAGACTGCTGTGCGGGGAGAGGGGCCACGCAGGAAGTCCCAAGCGGGTGGTCCGGGGGCACAGCGTCCAGGGAGAAGGTTCTGGGCCGACCCCAGGGCCGGGGCTGGGCGGAGGCAGATGAGCCAGGGCCAGGCAGGGCGGGCTGGTCTGTAAACATGGCTAGCCAGGGTGGGGGCGTCTCCAGGCTCCGGCCCTCCCGTTGGGCCAGGATGTCTGTCACTGCCGCGATGTCGTCCAGTGGTTCGATAGCTGCAGCACCAGGAGGGGTCAGGGAGGGGCCGTCAGAGCTCAGGCTGAGGGCCCCCATCACCTCTCACTGTAATAGGAAAGCAAAGCCCGGATCTCGGCCGAGGTGGCGTCCTCCTGCAGAAGCAGCCCCTCGCCTGGGCCCCCCACGGCCACAGGCTCAGGCAGGACTGCCGGGTGGGGACAGGAGGGGGCACAGGAAAGAGCAAAGAAACCAGGAGGGGAGGGAAAGGGAAGCCAGGCAGTGAGGGTGAGGAGACAGGAGTCCGCGTGCAGAAAGGAGAGAAAACAGCGAGTTAGGAGAAGCCTGTGCCTGGGGCCTGGGGCCCGGGGCCCCTGTGTGGGGCTGAGGTGGGTGAGTTCATGAGAGGAGAGAAGAGGACCCGTGTCCTCGAGGACTGTAAGGGGCTGAGGTGGGGGAGTTCACGAAAGGAGAGAAGGGGACCCGAGTACTATATGGGGCTGAGGTGGGCACTGGGTGGAGAGGACAAAGACCCTTGTCCCTAGGGACTCTGTGTAGGGCTGAGGTGGGCATGTGCTCTGGAGCAGAGGGTAGGACAGTGGGACCCAGCAGGGACCCACATCCTGGAGCCCAGCCTCAGCTCACTGTGCCCTCAGTCTGCATCCAGGGCCCCGGGAAGCCCTCCCACTTCCCATCAGGACGAGGCTGTGACACGCGGCCCCTCACTCACCCATCTCATGATACAAGGACCCCTGCTTGGCCAGCGCTTGGGGTGGCTTCCGAGGAGCAGGGGTCTCGATCCTCATGACCTCATCACAGCACTGCTTCCACTGGCCTGGGGAGGAACGCGGTTAGGACGCCTCGTCTGCTACACGTTCTGGAAACAGTGCTTTGGAGGAAGAGAACCAACACACTCCCTCCCAGGGCCAGCCAAGGCCTGTCCCACGCCCTCCTGCTCGGCTCAGCCTGTCACATGACTACTACACCCAGCATAGCCTGGCCAGTCCCACACCCCACCCCAGCCTGCCCCAAGCCCCAGCCCAGCCTGGCCAGTCCCATACTCCAGCATAGCCAGGCCTGCCCTGTGGCCCAGCCCAGCCTGCCCCATGCCCAGCATAGCCTGGCCAGCACCATGCCCCAATGCAGCCAGCCCTCTGCCCCGGCCCAGCCAGCCCTCTGCCCCGGCCCAGCCTGGCCTGTCCAGTGCCCCAGTGCAGCCAGCCCTCTGCCCTAGCCCTGCCTGGCCTGATAGTGCCCCAGTGCAGCCAGCCCTCTGCCCCGGCCCAGCCTGGCCTGACCAATTCCCCAATGCAACCAGCTCTCTGCCCCAGCCCTGCCTGGCCTGATAGTGCCCCAGTGCAGCCAGCCCCTGCCCTTTCCTTACTCATGTCAAAGAAGAGCTGCCACAGTGCCTCCATCCAGCTCTGCAGGGCCCCGCGGCTCTCCATCTGCAGCGTGTGCATCACCTCATCACCCCCATACCGGTTACTGATGGTCAGGGTGAAGGGCCGCCCTGGTCCTGGGGCCTGGTCCAGCTCCCCGGCCCGAACCCGGGTGTCCTGCAGGGGAAGACAAGGGTGGCATCCAGCTACACATGAGGCTGGTCTGTCCTTAGTGAAGCAAGAAGCCGTGGGACCTGCCTGGCCCTCTCGTTAGCCTCCTGGTGGAGTGAAAAGAAACAGCAAGGAGGGGTGGAGGTGAAACCCCTTGACCCAGTCAGGCCACAGAGGGTTGGGAAGATGGGGTGAGCAGGAGCACCGAGACGCGAGCCCCTCAGCACTGCACAGAGCCATCGGAGAGCCGGCAGAGGGGGGTCTCAACCCACGTCAGCAGAGGAAGGCTTAGAGATGGTGACACACAGATTTGGATCTGGGGGGTGGGGGTAAGCAGGGAAGGAGACCCCTGCACTGGCCCTGAGCCCACTCTGAGACCTTGCTGGGCCAGCCTCTGGCCCCTCTACTCGGCTCAGGGAGCAGCTTCTGCACTGCAGGGTGCGCACCCCCCTCCTGGGCCCGGAGAGGAGCCTGGTCCTGCACCTGGGGCCTCGCCCCGAGGAGGAGCGGAGCGAGGAGTGGTACCTTGTTGATGACAATCGTCAGCAGGGGCTCCTCCCCTGAGTCTGCGTCCTCTGGGCGCCGGTAACAGACGAGCTGGGTGCCCCGCAGGACCCCGTGGACGCTGGCCCAGCTCCGCGGCTCCCCGGTGTGCTGCAGGAGGACATCTGGTCTCCAGGGGGTCGCACCCCAGCACCCCTCCTCCTCACTTTCCCATCAGACCGTCAGTGTTCACAAGTGCCTCCATCCTCATGGGCAGGTCTCTTGTGCCCCCTCCCTTTGCCCACACATCCCCGGACCCCTCACCTGCACCCTGAGGGCCCCACTGGCTGAAGGCTGAGTCATGCAGAGAGGCTGTGCGGCCAGGCGGCAGCAGACGCTCCCGTAAAGGGGGAGCCAGGCAGGGTTCTCCTCTGTGGGGAGAAAGGACATGTCAGGGGGGAGGGACAGAGGGGTGGCAGGGGAGGGGGAGGAGGGACAGGTGAGGGAGAGGAGGGACAGGTGAGGGAGAGGAGGGGCAGGTGAAGAAGACAGGTAAGGGGAAGGAAGGACAGAGGAGGGGGGTACATGAGGGTGAGGAAGACAAGTAAGAGGAGGAAGGACAGGTGACAGGGAGGAGAAGCAGGTGACAGGAGGGGCAGGTGAAGACAGGTAAGGAGGGGAAGGGAGGACAGGAAGGGGAGGAGAGGCAAGTGAAGGGGAGCAGGGACAGGAGAGGAATAGGGATGGGAGGAGGGAGGAGGGACGGAAGGGGAAGCAGGCGAGGGGTAGAGATGCAGGGCCCCACCCCATATTTACCATGACTGGTCAGGGTGAGGTCATGCGTGCGGAAGCCATCCTGCACTGCTGCCAGGGTGAGCGTGGTATGGGCCAGGAGGTGGTAGCGGGGACCACTGTGGGGGACAGAGTGGCCTCAGCAGGTGGGTGCTCTGTGAGGAGAGCACGGAGGGCCGGGTGGTCTGTCCAGGCCACAGTGACGTCTGCATCCTGGCGTGCAGCGCCTGGGCCCGGGGCAGGACAACTACCCAGGTCTGTCCCTTCACATCACCCTCAGGTGACCCCTCCGCGTCCCCACCCAGCCCCGGGAGACCGCTGAGAGTCTTCAGTTAATGCATGGATGACCTTAGAAAGGTTTAGAAAGCTGCTCGTAATTTACAGTTGATAATTCCAGAAGAGCTGGAATCTGAACCCACTACTGGAGCTCCGGTGGCCTACTGAGGAGGGAGCTGCACTGTCAACCCAAAGGCCGGAGGTTCAAATCCCACCAGCTGCTCCGCTGGGTGAAGGATGGGCCCTCTCCTGTTCAAGACCTTGCTTCTGACATCAGCTATGGGTCAGTTCCAACGTGATGAGAATGCGCATGACTCGCCTAAACCAGGGCTGGACATCACCGGGCAAGCTGTCCAGCTGTTCATCAGCCAGGTCCCTGCACAGAGCCGCGGGGTGACTGCAGGTCGCAGCACAGGCTCACGCTACTGGAGGGTTCTGACTGACCCACAGAACAGAGCACTGCTCCTCAGACGGGCGGGGGAGCTCAGACGCCACTCAGCTGTGCGGTCACATCCGGTCACTTCGTGCTCACATGCATCTGCATGTCTTGGCAGCAGTGAATACGGGTCCACACCGTCCTCCCCTGAGCACTACAGGAAGTACAGGGCCTTACCCCACAGCCAGGGTGGGGAGCAGGATGGGGCTGCTCCCTGAGCCCCCAGCACTGGCCCCTGCGCTGTCCAGCGATGCCCGGACACGCCTCCCCGACGAGCGGCCCAGCGAGCTGCTGAGCTTCGTAGCAAGCCTCTTGGGGGCACCCGTCAGCGCCCCTTCTTCTTCCACGCAGGCCCCGTACAGCTCCAGACGCAGCTCGAAGTCCGGTCCCACTTCAGTGCTGGGGGGAGGAGAGCAGAGTGGTCTTGGGGAAGTCGTGGAGGACTCGGGTCAGGGGTAGGGAGCACAGGACTGCTCCAGAGGCAAGGCCAGGCCAGAGGCACTCCTCCTCAGAACCACCTCATCAAGAATCCAAATCTAGGGGAGCTCTGGTGGCCTAGTGGCAAGAAGCTGCACTGCAATCCCAGAGGCTCACGGTTCAAATCCACCAGATGCTCTGCCGGGTAAGGAGGGGCAATCTCCTCCTGTACCAGTCAGATCCAATTTGACGGTACACGCACACACAAAATAATAAAATAATAATAAAAAAAACCTTTAAAAAAAAATCCAAATCTGAAAGGGAGCTCTGGTGGCCTAGTGGCAAGAAGCGGCACTGCAATCCCAGAGGTACGTGGTTCAAATCCACCAGGTGCTCTGCTGGAGAAGGAGGGACAATCTCCTTCTGTACCAGTTAGATCCAATTTGACGGTACATACACAAAAAAATAATAAAATTTAAAAAAAAAAACCCAAATCTGAGCATGAGCGCGGGGTCAGCGTGGAGCACGGGGCCACAGGGCTGTGGCACTCACAAGAGCACGCTGCTCTGGAAGGAGATGTCCGTGAGGGTCCTGTCCACCAGCATCATCTCGGTGTCCTCGATGTGCTCCCCCAGCTGCAGCAGCAGGAACACTGCCCAGCGATGCAGGTCTGGGGAGCAGGCGGAATGTGAAGATGCGCCCACCAACACGTCCAGCCTCACGCACACACCCCCCCCCCCAGCGTGGCAACTCACCACCTTTGTTCTTGAAATACTCCGTGTCCTTCCACATGAGCGGGATCCGGAGGTCTGAGGGTGGAAGGAGGGACAGGTACTGAGATGCAGCCAGGAGCCACGGGATCAAGTGCGGGCAACCGGCAGGCCAGGGGTCTTACCAGAGATGCAGACCCGGCCGCGGCAGGGCGAGCGGTCAGCTGGGGGCCCGCTGTCGGAAGGCCTGTGGGGAAGTCACAGTGTCCCAGCCTGGCTGCTGCATGGGGATCCCTCACTCCCTGCTCCGGCCGAGCCCCCAGTCAGCTGACATGGCAGGCCAATGGGACCGACTAGGGCAGAGTTCTTTTTTTCCCCTTTCTCTTATTCTGTCCCATCGGATCTGATCCGATGGGCCCCTCCTTCTCCAGCAGAGCATCTGGTGGATTCGAACCATGTGCCTTTGGGATTGCAGTGCAGCTTCTTGCTGTTAGGCCACCAGAGCTCCCTCTGGGTAGAGTTCTTGAGGGCCACTCAAGAGCCATGTCCACCCTGGAGCCACATCTGCTCCAGTGCTATGTCCACCCTGGAGCCACGCCCACTCCGGAGCCACGCCCACTCCGGAGCCACATCCACCCGAGCCCCATCTGCTGCACAGCTACATCCATTCCAGAGCCATGTCCACCCTGAAGCACCCGGGGCCTCCCCCCCCGCCCCCCGGCACTGGGACCTCCTCCAGCACTGGGACCTCCACCCCCAGCACTGGGACGGCCCTCTGATCACCTGTGGGCTTCCTTCCCCATGACCCCAGCACCCCCCCAGCACTGCGACTGCCCCACCCCTGCTCACCTGCGGCCTGCCTTCCCCATGACCCTAGCCACCCCCAGCACTGGGACCACCCCGCCCCCTGCTCACCTGCGGCCTGCCTTCCCCAGCACCTGGGCCTCCTTCCGCCGCTGGAGTTCGCCCATGTAGTTAAGGATGCGACTGTTACACACCAGCAGGCTCTTGGTGGCCTCCAGGGCCTGCTCACGCTGGGAGCAGGCCGCCAGCAGCTTGCAGGCCCCTTCCCGCATCCGGATCTCATGGTCCAACTTCCTCTGCAACTCCGTGTCCTGACCGGGATGGGAAGTGTCACTCAGGGCCCGTCCATGTGAGCAAAGCAGAAGCAAAGGTTAGCCACCCAAGAATAGCCGGGGAAGCTGTGGGAAGATACAGACGTTCTCCTGCATCTGGTGACAGGGATAAAAGGTCCATTAGCCCCTTCTGAGCGTAACTGGGGGGAGGGGAGCAAAACAACTAGGAAAATGAGTCTTCTTGGGAAAAGGTATCATGCTGGGGAAGGTGGAGGGTCACAGAAAGAGAGGACGACCTTGAACTAGATGGACTGAGTAACAATGGAGGGTGGCACAGGCGAGGCCAAGGTTCAGAGCTGTAGGTCATAGGGTCCCTGTGAGTCATAGTTGACTCCATGGTACCTGACAACAACAGCAAATGAAAACTACAAATCTGTACATCCTTTGACCCAGCTAGTCACCGTCTAAGACTACCTACAGGTGTCCCATAGCGAGTTACATGGTTTTCCACGCTCCCCTGCCCCACCTTGGGTGTTATCTTCCTGTGCACACTACATGTGTGTAGAATTATTTATGTCCTTCTCCAAGGACTAGTCAGTCCCTCCTGGCCACGTGCCTGAAGTGTGAGACAGAGTTTTAAAATCCTTGCCTCCAAGGAACAGGCTTCTCCAAGACAGACACGTTTGTTCTCTTGGTGCTCCATGGATATTTAACACTCTTCTCCAGCAGTACAACTCAAAGGCATCCATCCTCCTTCTGGCATCCTTAGTCATTTCCAACTCTCTAAAGCATAGCAAGTAACTGCAAAGACCGGGGCCTGGATCAGGCACACCTTAGTCTCTAGACTGACATCATTGCTCTTTAGTACACTGGAGAGGTCCTTGACAGAAGATATTTCTAAAGCAATTTGTCTTTTGATTTCTTGATCGCTGATGCCAAGAGCGTTGATTGTGGTGCCAAGCAAACTAAAGCTGTTAAAAATCTCCATCTCAGGGAGCTCTGGTGGCAAGAAGCTGCACTGCAATCCCAGAGGTACATGGTTCAAATCCAGCAGATGCTCTGCTGGAGAAGGAAGGGCAATCTCCTCCTGTACCAGTCAGATCCGATTTGATGGTATACACACACACACACACACACACACAAATCATAAAATAAAATTAAAAAATTTAAAAAAATCTCAGTCTCTTTCCCATCTATCATAATGCTGCTAGTTAATTGGTTCAGGGGTGAGAATCTTTGTTTTCTTGATGTTGAGCTTCAATCTATATTGTACTGTGGTCCTTGACCTTCCGCAGCAAATACTTCAGGTCCTCCTCAGTTTTGGCCAGCAAGGTTGTGTCATTTGCATAACACAGGTTGTTGATGAGTCTTCCTCTGATCCTGATGCCACATTCTGCCTCTTATCAAGCCCAGCCTCCCGAATGATCTGTTCTGCATACAGATTGAAAAGGTATGGAGACACGACACATCCCTGACACATGCCTTTTCTGCTTTTGAACCACACAGTGTTTCCTTGCTCTCTCTACAAACTGCCTCCTAGTCCAAGTGTAGGTTTTGCATGAGCACAATCAGGTGTTCTGGGATTATCATTCTCAAGATTATCAACAATTTATTGTGACCCACACGGTCAAATGCCTTTGCATAGTCAATGACACACAGACATTAATTACATACATACATTGTTATCGAGCACAGTGGAGTTGGAAGCAACCCACAGCTGACCCTCCAGGGGGTTTTCAGAGGCAGTTAATTGCATGAGAGGAGACTGCCCATCCTTCTCCCACAGAGCAGCTGGTGGCCTCGAACCACGTGCCTTCAGGATTGCAGTGCAGCTTCTTGCCACTCGGCCAACATACACACACCACCACCCCCCAGCTCCCTTTCATCAAGTCAGCTCCTTCTCCCAGTGACCCTTCGCTGGAGTTTGGAGGCTGTAAATCCTCACCGGAGGACACTGTCCATCTTCCCTGAGCAGGGCCATGGGTGAGGGTGAGCCTCTGAAGACAGGAGGCCTTTCAAGGTTACCAGCACACTATGGACACCACCATGGAGATAAGTAAACACACAGCTCTCGGGTGGAGTCGTCTGTAAGGAGGTGTGCTGCTAACCCAAAGGCCATACTGCCTGTTGGCATTTTAAACCCATCAGGTTTATATATATGCCCCACTGGGATGTATAAACCCACTGCTTCCTATGTGTGTATCTCCACTGCTGAGTCAATTCCAGCCCCCGGGCCTGCACCAGGACCCAGTGAACTGCCCATGGGGTTTCCAAGGCTGGAATCTCTACAGCAGCAGATCGCCATGCCTTCCTCCCGCACAGCAACGAGAGAGCTCCAAGCACAGACCTTTCAGTTAGCAGCCAAGATGCTAGACCGCTGTGCTACCAGGGCCTATTGATATTCGCTCTAGAATCAGCCTGTGTCAACAGCATCTCACAGCCACCTCAGACCAGCGGGTTAAGAATTCCCACAAGTGAAGCATGAGCGTTTCCTTAAACACTTTCCAAGAGGCGCCACCGCTAAGACAAACAGACAGACGCAGAGCGTGAAGACCATTCTGAGGTGCCCCAAAGATGGACTCATACAGGGAGGGGCTGCATGTGGCCAAGCAGCTCACCCACGCTTCACAGAGCCCACACGGGGCACCCCCTGGAATTCCCGTCCTGGCTCTGAGCTTGGAGGACAGAGGCAGGGGATGAGGGTGGACAGGAAGGCAGAGGGTTGCACCAGGCATGGAGGAGACGGATTCACAGAGCAGAGATCAAGAACGCCTAGTGGTAAGGAGCTGCGCTGCCAACCCAAAGGTAGGTGGTTTGAACCCATCGAATGCACTGCAGGAGGAAAAGCCTCTGGAAACCCGCCTGAGGGTCAGCGACGGACGGGTCGCTTCCCACTGGCGAGCTATGAGTGAGTGCAGTCATACAGTGCTGGCTTGGACTTGAGAGCCTGGGAGGAAATTCTCTCAAAATGACTGGGCGTTTACTCAGGCACTCTGGTGATGCAATGGGTTAAGTGCTGTGCTGCTGGCTGGAAGGTCACAGTTCAAACCCACCAGTGCCTCTTGGGAAAAGAGATAAGGCAGGCTGCTTCCGCAAGATCCCAGGCTGGGGG